AACCTTATTGGTATGCCGAATGCCACATTTGCTGAACTTGTTGCTAGGATTTTTAGTAGATGAGTAACTTGTCCAGCGGAGTAACCTTTTTTAGTTTTCTGTATTCCAGGCAAAAAGTTACCCAAGTATCCTGCTCAAGAAGAGGTAGTCTTGCAAATGTTAGAAAGTGTGACTGAAGCCAAAAGACTATCACAGATGGTAATCCAAGTTCCTTAACAGCTTTGTCTATATTTTCATGTCGTTTGATTTGAATATATCCAGGGTTGAAAGCACCATTTTTACGTTTCTGTTTGACTTCTGGTTTATACTGGTCTAACCTTCTGGGTTGTGGAAGTAATAGCTACGTAATTTTGGGCTTGCGCTTATATTACACTCCATATTTGATAGTGTTGCATGCTTATTTTATTTCATCCTGCCATTTGTTTGTATTTCTTCTTCTGATCATATTTCGATTTTGATGTTTGAAATTTTAAAGCATTTTTGTTAACTTGGATGACATTTTTTCCTCCAATTGTTAAAATCTGAACATCTCTGCATAAACTTAAAGAACTTGGAGGCACAAAAAGGAGGAAGGGCGGAAATGATGATGATGCGGCAGAGGATATAGAGAGATATCTCGGCGTCAAAGGCAAGTCCTCAAAGAAAGTTAAAGAGAAAATGAGATTGTCTGCTTGTGTTATTTTGGTCTCTGTTTACTGCTTCCGATTTTTAACTAATTTGTTGGGTTCAGGGTAGTATAAAATCTTATACGAGTAAGATTTTTTGAAATTAGCTTTTATTAAGGGAAATTAGAACATGGAAGAGAACTCTATTTACTTGCTTTTGTTTTATTTCCCCCACCCAGTGTTTTGAAAATCAGACCGGACCGGCAGATTTAATCGGGAATCGTTGTCTAGTTCGGTTCAATCTACACCGGTTGAACCGTTATTAGTGAACCGGCCAGAACCGTTGAACAGTTCAAACCGGACCGGCTGAAAACCGGGAAAACCGCCAATTTTATTATTATTTTTAAAAAAATTAAACCAAATTACGTCGTTTGTTAAACGAGCCAAGTCGAACTCGAGTATTGCTGAGCTCGACTCGAACTTGAAAACTTTAAAAGTAAGCTCAACTCGACTCAAACTCACGAGCTAAAAATTATCAAGTTCAACTCGAACTCGAAATATAATATTGAAACTTGAACTCGAAAAGGCTTAAACTCAAAAAAAAATTAGAAGCTCGATTGAAGCCTAAAATTCGAGCTTGATTGAAGTGAAAGAATAGTTTACTCAATGCTCATCAAAAGGCTCCATGATTATGAATGCCAAATTATCTCTATTATTTATAGAAGTTAGTTGGGATGCTCTTCTATGTTTCTTAGCCATGTGAGATTATTTTGTTTTCATATTTTTTTCTCTTTAGACTTTTGGGATGCTCTTATATGTTTCTTAGCCATGTGTGATTGTTTTTAAAAAAAATAAACCAAACAATATTATTTTGTTATGATTTTTTTAGCCTTAAATTTATTTTTTAATTATAGTTATATAATTATATTTATTATTTAATATGTTTTACCTTAAATATTATGTTGTAGTTAATTTGAATCATTTTGTTTTACTTGATTTTATGGTTTTTAACTTATATATGTTATAACTTGCTTTGAATATGACTTGTGATATAAAAAATTATTTTTTATTAAATATTTTTTGTATTTTTATTTAATTTTTTAAATAATTATGACGTCGTCCGGTTCTTCCGAGCGGTCGGACCGATTCGACCGGTTGAACCAATGAATCGGTAGCATGGCCGGTTCGTTAACCGGTCCGGTTCTGAAAACCATGCCCCCACCCCCTTCTAGGGAAGTAATTGATTGTACAAAAGATATATTAACTGATCAAGTGGTCAATGATGTTCATGTTATTCCACCTTGTGTGGGTTCAAATCTCGACATTTATCTTGAGAATTTAATATTTCTCCATTTAATAAAAAAGAAGTGATTGTACAAAACTCGGATTATTAGCTTCTGTTTTAGTTCCAATTCATATTATGCCTCCAGACCGTAACATAATGGATATCAAAGGGGTGAGGAAATTATGACATGCATGTGAATAAAGGATGCCTCGAGCGTTGTTCTTGTTCTTTGATAAAGATGGTTTCAAACTGTTCTTCATCTCATTGCTTCTGAAATAACACCACCTTAAAGCATTGGTTCGCGTCTTGAACAATTCCATAAAAAGCAGGTTGATGATCATGTGCTGAACAAATGCTTAGAGGTGTTAAATTTAACATAATTGGATTCAATATTTTATTTCTGAAATTAATTTTGTTAGTGTCATTTACTTGAGTAATTACAATAATACTCTATTATTTAGACTTAGGCACTAATTTAGATATAAAAAAAATTATAAGTATCAATCCAACCTTAAAATCAAATATTAAACACCTTAGAAACTAAATATTAATGTGCCATTGTACAACTACAAAGCAATTCAAAACTTGATACCAAATGCAAACAGAGCCCAATTCAATAGGAACCGTAATGGAGCTCCAATATACAAACAAACCGACCTGAATTGCTCTCGTTAAATTTCAGTTAGCAATAGATTGGTTCATAAAATGTAAGAATATTGTTGGTAATAAAATTTATTAGAATGTAACATTACTTAACATATTTATTGTGAATGTTGTATTACATTGTTTAATTTATTGAACATGAATGTAAGATTACAATGTTTGGTTTGATGAATATAAGATTGGAATAACGCATATTTTATCAAATTGTCCTTATAATATATTTTCTTATTATCAAGTTGAATTCTCAAAATTAAAAAGAAATATTTACATGAAAGTTCATTAAAAATATAATTTTTGTCTATTATTTCTAATATATATATATATATATTATGAAAAATTTATATAAAAAATAATAAACAAAATATCAATTCAAATTATTGAAAATTAATAAAAATATTATAGAGAACCTTTTATGGAAGTTAATCTTAAAAATAAACATAATAAAATACAGTTCAAAAATAAAACTTGAATCGAATATATACATAATAAATAATCAAAATAAAATAAAATTTGATATATTTTTATGTATTATATTATTTAATAATAAATATTAAAAAATTGAAACTATTAAAAAATAAAAAAAATTATACTCATATAATTACGTATAAAAGTAAAATCTTTTTAAATTAACTATTATTTTAAGAGTATTTTTGTAGGAGAAAAAATATCTAATACCTAAAAAGAAAGAGAAAATAACGTTCTTGAAAATAGATAAAAAAAAATTATTATTATTATAAAGAATACTTCATTACATCAGAGAAAATACTCTTTAAATATGAATAAGTGATTCTGAAAAAATTTAGGGTAAAGTAAATAAATGGTCACTAAAATTTACAAATACTTTCATTTAGGTCCCTCAACTTTTAAAACTTGCAATATAGTCACCAAACATTTAGTTTGTTTGCAATATGATCCTCGACGTAATGGTTGTTTCACTACCATTAGGGTAAATTGTATAAATGGTCACTGAAATTTTTAGGCGCTCGGATTTAGTTCCCCTAACTTTTAAAACTTACAACACAATCATCAATTACATTCTAAACCCAAAAATCCAAAATGTTTCAATTACATTCTAAACCTCAAATTCCTAAATACTTTAATTACATGCCAACCCCAAATTCATAATCCATTCTAAAAATATGTCATAACAAACTAAACTTGAATTAACAAACCTAAACCCTCAAAACATAACCATTTCGAAAAAATTTAACCAACTATAAGTGAATAATAAGTGATTATGTTGGGTTTAGGATTTAGAGTTATATTAGACCTAAATACTCAATTCAGTTTATAAAATAGTTGACTCAAACATTTTTCGATTTGAGTTTATAAAATTTAAATCAAGTCGAATTGAATTGAATTTTCGAGTTTCTGTTTAAATTTTATTATAAATATTTATCATATTATAATATTATTTGATTCTAATTCAGTTCAGTTTATAAAATAGTTAACTCGAAATTTTTTCGATTTGATTTTATAAAATTTAAATCAAGTCGAATTGAATTGAATTTTCGAGTCTCAGTTTAAATTTAATTATAAATATTTATAATACTATAATATTTTTATTCTAATTTAAATAGTTTTTAACCATATACAATACATATATTTCTTCATATTTTTTCCATATGTGATATACATTTATCATACAGAGTCAAGGGACTTGACTCAAACTTAAAAATTAATCCACTAATTACTAAAAATTTTGAGATATTCAAGTTGTATTTTACAACTCGATTTTAACTTGAAATTTTTAAGTTGAGTTTATGAATTACAACTCAAAGTCAATTTGTATCAAATTTTTTGAATCAATTCAAGTCGAAAAATAATTTTTCGAATCAAATTGAGTATTGTTCACTTATAATTGGTTAGATCTAACTTTTAAATCCTAAACCCAACATAATCACTTATTGTTATGGACCCAAAATGAACTAAATGTTGTTGATTATGTTGGGTTAATTGGTGGAGAAATTTAGCATTTAGGGTTATGTTTTGAGGGTTTAGGGTTATTGCTTCAAGTTTAGTTTATTATGGAATATTTTGAGAATGAATTATGAATTTGGGGTTGAGCATGTAATTGAAATATTTTAGAATTTGAGGTTTAGAATGTAATTGAAGTATTTTGGAATTTGGGTTTAAAATGTAATTGATGACTGTGTTGTAAGTTTTAAAACTTGGGGACTTAAATGCAAACGCCTAAAAAGTTAAGTGACAATTTATATGATTTACCCTAACGGTAGTGAAACAGTCGTTACGTTGGGATCATATTGTAAATGAGCTAAATGTTTGGTGACTTTATTGCAAGTTTTAAAAGTTTAGAGACCTAAATGCAAGTATCTGAAAAGTTCAGTGACTATTTATATACTTTACCCAAAAATTTATTATCCTAATAGTAATCTTTTACTAAACGCCACTTAGAGTAAAACACACGCTTTTGTCCAGTTGTGTTCCCAGTCCACTTCTTCAGGCAGCGACAAAAAGATTAAGCTGCAACTTGTATAATCTCTCTCAACAAGCACATTTCTTCATGTTTTGCGCCTAAATTCATCATCCCTTTCTCCAGAATTCTCTTTGGTCACCGCTTGATTCGAGTCTCGTCATCTCTCCCTTGCGAACCCTTGATTTTCTCTAATCTTTCCAATGTAAAGTAACAGTCTCTTTCCTTTTGTTGATATTTATTATTTGGATTTTTCTCAATCTTTTGGATTCTGATTGTTCTAGTTGGCTTTTGTTTCTGGAGATTTCGAAAGTGAATCCTTTTCTTTGTCTTTCATTTGATCAGTCCATCACTTTTACGAGATGGGCAAGTTCTGATTCTTTTTCCCTTTCAATTTAATGCCTTCTCCAAAGTTCATGTCCGGTTTTGACTATTTTTATGAAGAATTTCATCTTTATTGAGTTACTTTTTTTAATTATTGTTCTTGCTTATAGAATTCATATGCAGAAAGATAAAGTTTCTTATCTGTTCTGCATGTTATTTTATTTTTGAATTTTCTGGTAATTTTATGTTTTCTGAACCCAAACTATGCATTATAAGTATCTAGTCTGTAATGGCTACTTATATTTTCACTCATGAGTGAAATTGAGCTACTCTGAATAATTCATTAACATGGGCATTGTGGTGATATTAACTACACTGTTATTGAGTACATCTGGCTCTGGTGATGGCATTAATTCTGACCCCCCCCCCTTCTTGTAGTAGATTTTATGGTCATGTGGCTCAGTTCTTAAGTTGTATTTTTATATCACTTGCAGAATAGACAGTTTCGTGTACAGGCTGTCTTCCATACCACATATAATACCTCTGGTCGACCTTCTCGCTTGATGGCTTCTGCAGCAATTGATACAAAAACTAATCTTTCAACACAATCTCTTTCCACCGATGACCCAGTCATTTCTGTTGATTGGCTTCATGCTAATCTAAGGGAGCCTGATCTGAAGGTATGCATTTATACATGTTCCAGTAACCGTTTTTACTTAAACATGTTGTTACAAAAATGTCATGAATTTTTTTGCTTGTTATTGTTACTTTTTGAAAGTGTGGTTGTCGTGAATGACATTACGGCATCATATATAAGCCACTTTCGATACTCTTTATTTGCTTTATTTTTGAGACTAGAAAGGCATACGTGCAAGTTATTAATTTTATAGTTCAGGTTTTCATGAAACTAATTTATCATCTTCATAGGTATCACCTCCCATAGATATTTCTGTGTGCTTGTGAAATTGTTGTTAAATTAATTTTTATATACTATAGTACAGCTTTTTCTATTTTGCAACTCCTGAGGAAATCTAGATGTTAAATTAAGAGTTTTCCCCTTATTATCTATTTCTCACCACTGTTTAAGTGATACAATTAGCTGCAAATCAGCATTTTCAACGTAACAATAATGATATATGAAACTGTAAGTAAGTTCACCTGAACAACTGCCAAATTTGGAGCCCAACCTCAAATCACTGATCACAGTAATTATTCAAAAGACAAACAATTTCTAAACAGCTAGCAGCCCATTCTATCAGGCTTGGCATCTTTCGGGTTTTTTTCTCCATTTTTCCTCATATATTTTCTCTCGGGGAGGGAAAAGAGTTTGGTTTAGACAAAATGAAGGTACCCTCTGAGTTCGGGGATCATTTTAGAACAGTTTTCCTGAAGATGCCCCCAACCAAAAAAAAAAAGATTAGTCTAATAATTGTTTGGTTTCTTAGAATAAGATGATTTTGAAAGAATTATTTTATTTTTTGTTATTAATTTTGATTTTTTTCTTAAGCTTATGAATAACTTATTAGCAGAAGTGTCTTTAGAAATATTATGAAAATTGGAAAACATTTTGTGCTTTCTTTTTTTATTGGTTTACCACATTTTTATTATTTATCAGGTACTGGATGCGTCATGGTACATGCCAGATGAGCAGAGGAATCCAATTCAAGAGTATCAGGTGCTGATTACCGTCTTCTCTACAATCAATTTTGGAGTCGCACCCCAAAAACAGTTAAATGCTTTTGAGTATTGAAATTGTGTTCTTATCATAGCAGGTTGCTCACATTCCCGGTGCCCTTTTCTTTGATATTGATGGAATTGTAGATAGAACTACAGAGGTGAGATTCCTTCTTTTTAATTGATTATCTTTTCACTCTCTTGGGTTCTATGTTTGCTAGATCACTGAGGTAGAGAAAGCTCCATTCTGTAACAACCTTTGCATCGCCGTTTCTTTTCCCTTTGATATCTCACAACTATCCTCTTTGGGTTTTACTAGCAGCAATTCTCTTCTCTTCCTTTGACTGTTTAATATTTATTAGTCTATAATCTATATTGTTATTTGAGAAAGGTAGTAGATATGTAGGTGCTCTTTCTATGGTATTTTGTTCAGTCAAGTTCAGTCAATAACTTGGGAGAAAACTAGACAGAATCAGTTAGGAGGAAATATCAATATCACAAAGACTTGACGTTCCACATTGAAAAACTAAAATAACATTGGTATCTTGTACCAAATCCTAAACCCTAATAAAGTGGAAATTCCAATAAGAACTTTGATTAAAAATAATCCTAATAAATTAAAAGGCCTAAACACAGCGCTCCATAATGCTGCTTTGACAATTGCAGAATCATCTTCAACCTTGTATATGCATTTAGTATTCTCAGTAATGCAATTCAATCAAATATTCTTGGTAGTTTGTTACATGATGTTACTGTTGGAGATGTACTAGGTAAGCGAACCTTCAATAACATATGCACTATTTGACTTCTCTTGTTGAAACCTCTTATCAGTTGCCACATATGCTGCCATCCGAGGATGCTTTTGCGGCTGCTGTGTCTTCTCTTGGCATCCAGAATAATGATGGGCTGGTTGTTTATGATGGAAAGGGGATTTTCAGTGCAGCACGTGTATGGTGGTTAGTTTTGATAATATGACATCTTCTCAACCTTTACTGAAATGTTCTATCTTTGTTTTCCTGATTCTAAATCTAACAGACATTATTCCATCGATAATTGTAAGGATGTTCCGAGCTTTTGGGCATGAAAGAGTGTGGGTGTTAGATGGAGGCCTCCCAAGGTGGCGTGCATCAGGGTACAATGTTGAATCTAGTGCTTCTAGTGATGCTATTTTGAAAGCCAGTGAGGCAATAGAGAAAGTCTATCAGGGACAAACTGTAAGAACTCTTTTGATCTATGATTCTCTATATCTCCTTTTTCAATTCTTGTAATTATTTATTGGGATTTTTTTTGTGGGGGGGGGGGGGTTGTTCCCTCTTCCATTTGATATGGTTGTTGTCTACAAGTTCTGAAAATATTGCTATTGTGTTCGGATGTTTTCTGAAAGAAGCAAGCATGGGACTACTATGGAAGACATTTAGTAGCAATTGTTCATTCAGTTACTGGGTTGAACATTTTTATCTAAATAATATTATACAAGTTTCTATCCTCTCATGTTTACAATATAATACTCAAATAGTTTTTGGTGCATGTATCCTTGTTTTGCAGGTTGGACCACTGACATTTCAGACAAAGTTTCAGCTACATCTTGTCTGGACTCTTGACAAGGTTGAATTGCTAGCCATACTTCATATAGAATTATGACTTTTCTACCTTAGTTTTGTTTGACTCATAATGTCTGTTAGTGATTGCAATTTTAGTTGGTGCACCTTCATAACCCATTTATACTAATACTACCTTTCTAGACTCATTCACACCCCAATTTATTATGGTAAGAAAAGCAAAAAAAACTTGGAGAAAGCTTCAAGCTGAATAATATGAGTAAAGAATCATAGAATTTATGATTTTACGTATTGAGTAGAGAAACATAATGCTTGTATATGTTTGTTGCCCCACTCTTAGCTTGTCCTGACATATCCGCGTCAGCAATATTTGGGTACTTTAAAGCATGGCTATTAGTCTGTCCATCATTTCTCCCTATTATCTGATTACTTTGTCAGTTTATGCTAGATAATACTGTTTTATTTTATTTTATTTTTTTCAGATTAGAAGAAACATTGAGGAAAAGACTCATCAACATATAGATGCCCGTTCCAAGCCCAGGTAGTGCAGTTAACTTGTTCGATTCCATTTGACCATAATTACTTAAATCTTATTTGATATGGTAAATAATAGCGGTTGTAGGTTGTCAGTTCTCATCCCTCAATTCATTGCCCTTGTGTTGTTGATAATAAGCATAAACCAGCATGTCTTAACATGCAAGTCTCATGAAAATGCTGTGTATACAGTATTAAAAAGACCGAATTTTGAACCTATATGAACTCTATTTTCACATTAATATATGTAAGGTGCATGAGACATAAGGCACGGCTTTGTTCTTGCACATTTTTCAGCCCATGAAGTGTAGTTTCCTTAAATTGTAAAGGCCGACGACGGATTGTTGTAATATATATCGCAGTAAAGCTGAATATGTTTCACTACTAGTAAGACTCATGAACTGCTTTGATGGCTAAGGAATTTGTCTAAACCCAGCAAGAACTATAGTTAAAGTAGATCCTAGTGAAGTGGAAATTTTTGGTTTGCCTATCTTGGTGGTCCTAGTTGTCAGCATGATCCATTTCTTGATCCTATCAATCGCAACATTTTCATTTCAGCTATACTCGTTGTTCAGACAGGTTATCTTCAACCTGCTCAAATGCTCAGAATATTAAGGCTTAACCTGTCTTACTGTATTTCCTTTTAAACTTGCTCAGTGTTGTGAAGGGCACAAGGTGCTCTCTTGGCTCTAGAACCTTTTAAACTTGCTCAGTGTTGTTGTTATTATCATTATTATTATGCAAACATCGATTTTGTAACAAAATTTGCCTTTTAACTCTTTTAATTTTGAAGGGAAGGAGCCTTAAAATTGAATTACATAAAACTTGGGTTTATATCTCCCAAACCTTCTTGCATATAAAATCCTTGCTCTGTTATATTTATTTTTGGTGTTTGGGATTTCATACAGATTTGATGGTGTTGCACCTGAACCTCGTAAAGGAATTATAAGTGGGCATATACCTGGCAGCAAGTGTATTCCTTTTCCACAGGTAAGAAAGAGAGTTTTTCATTTTTTACTTGCGCATGGAAGAGGTGAGATGGATGTAAATTTCCGGTCCTAATCAAGACCTTTTTTAAAAAAAATTGTCTGAGAAAGAGAAGGTTAGTAGATGTGCAGGAACATTTACTTTCAAATTAGGAGTGTGAGGGAGGCTCTACTTTCTGTTGTGTGCTGCATGAAATTGTTGATTGGTAATTAAAATATGTCATGCTTATAGAACAAACTTGTTGAGTGGCAGATTCAGATGGTGCGATCTGAGTATGACCTATTACTGGTCATTGTTTAGACCGGAAGTCTTATTCAAGATGATGTACCTCCTGCTAATATGTTGTTAAACACTTTGGAATTCTCGAGTTGTTTTTTTCCAATGATGTAGATGGTAACATTCTAGCCTTGAGAGAAAAGGGAGAAACAATATGATAGGCCCAATTTGGGTTGTTATTATATTTATTATCATTGCCTTTTACTCTCTTTTCTTATATGTGATGTAATTTCTGGAAATTTGGTTTCCTTGATAGATTATCAAATTAATCAATTTATCATTTCTTTGCAGATGTTAGATGCTTCCCAGACACTTCTACCTGCTGACGAGCTCAAGAAACGATTTAATGAAGAGGGTGATTACTCTTTATCTTCCTTTTTGTCATTGTTCCTTTCCTCCTTTTCTTTTGTATTCTTTCAAAGTTCAGCTGGTATGTATGTCTATCGGTTACTTGGTTTTCATATATGAAGTCCGTGTCCCTTCACCTGTAACATCTTTGTCAAATCTTCATATTCACTCTATAATATGCACATCAGTTTCTGGGAGTAAGGATTTATTGATCTTATAATTAGAATTAGGAACTTAGTTATTAGCTACTGAATAACTCGTTCATAACAATGGTGAATATTTATTGAGGTGTTCTGTCAGACGATGTAAAAAATTACTCCATTTATAAGAGTCTGTTAGTTCCCTTGATTGTGCAGTCCAAAACTGCACCGTTGACCCTGTACCCAACTGATTCTGATAGAAAAATTAGACACCAAGATCTTTATTGTCGCATTCAATTGTGTGGGAAGCTTGCGCACAGTTCATAGTTAAATCAATCTTTCAATATGATTTTTGTGTTTATGATGCCAACAATGTACTGAATGTGATTATGTCTTGCTTCTCTAGGAATCATAGTGCTTCTAAGATTATAAAGAAGTTCATACTTCATGCTTGTTTATATAACGCTTTATTGTTTGATCTTGACATTTTCTTATTGTCCTTGCAAACTTGCATTGCCTAATAACGTATTTCAGGCATCTCCTTGGAACGGCCTATTGTAACTTCTTGCGGCACTGGTGTAACTGCTTGTATTCTGACATTGGTACTTTCCTGCATGATATATTCTCTCTTCCTTTAGGCTTGACATTTTTCCAATCATTCCAATAAGTTCCCATAAATCTCATGAGAGGCGAAAAATATAATGTGGTTCCCAAACAAAGTTCGATTCATTTGATTCTTTATTAATATTCTAAAACAGTTGTCTTGTGCTAATGCTTTCCAGGGCCTCCATCGACTTGGGAAGACTGATGTTGCTGTATATGATGGATCTTGGACGGAATGGGTTGTGCAGTCCGACACACCTGCCGACGTGCAAAGCAATCAAAGAAACTGAGAACTGTCGAGCTTATGATCAGGCCAGTTTCAGTAGAGATACAGGGACATGAAAATGGGTTGTATCTAGAAAAGCCTCAAGTGTTATTCTAGCTATTTATGAATTCCAATATGAACCTTACTGTGTGGTGACCCTTCAGAATATCAGAAACTTCGTTTGACAACGGAAGTGTTGAATTGTGATAGTGTGTTTATGGTTTTATGGAATATGTCAGCTGTTTTTACGTGGGATGACAGGACTGTGGTTCCTGGAATTACTTTTTTGGCAGCAAAAAGACTGCAAGAAGTGGATTATCTAGATTATAATATTCTCAAGTTTGCTGATAGGAGCCTGTATTCATAAATGAATCTTTTTACATGTAACAAATATTCCATGAATGTGTATAATATATCCTGAGAGTACAAATAATGCGACGTTCCGGAACCGTAGCCCTTTCATCTCTTAAATATGAAAACAAGTACTGGAGCTAAAGGTCGGTTCAACATCTGGAACTTGCAGCATATCCAACCATCAACGCACAATCCTGAAGCAAAGCCTTCAACTGTTTCCAGTTCTTCCCTGTGAATTATGTTTAACATAACATGAGCAAAGCCAGGTATTTTCAAAGAGTCGTAACTACATAAACTACTAGGCTAATAAGCCCTCCCGACATCAGCATTTTCTTTGCAGATTCCAATGCCAACAGGGTTGTTTTCGACGTCGTAATAATGCCTTTGTTTCCTCCGGGAAGGTAGCCTAGGTTGAATGCAACAAGTCTAAAAGCAGACAAGGAATTAATGCTATCCCTATGTGAAGAATATATCAACAATTCAACATGGCTTCATGATAATTTTTATGAAGCCGCCAAAGGTACTGGTAGTAATGAAAATAAAAACCGAATGGAAGTTTAAAAATTTAGAGTTTACAATATATGATATTCATAATTTGACCTCTCAAGTATTTCCAACTATACATAAAATGAAAATTTCTTATTTTACCTTATTGATGCCTGAATGAGCACAGAAACAAAAACTAACAATTAGGTAACCATGGACATCTATTAATATTTATAAAGTTAGTCCTGAATATGCAAAACAGCATCACTTCTAGAGTAAAAGGATGCTAATAGTAATTATACGCATACTGTAACTAGAAACAAAAACTAGAGTAGAGTTCCATTTCAGAGATAGTTTTGGTCATACAGTACTAACTTTATAAAGTTGCTACTCTAGATAAACTAGCAGCAAATAGATTAAATACCCAAATCAATCAATACTCCACTCTAATGAATATCAAATATATTAAAAAGAGAGAAACTTGAGCACTAATGAGTAGTACCTAACGGCAGTATTTTCAGGAAGCACTTCATCCATTCTACTATGGCAAATGGGGAAGAGCTTGACTAGTTCTTTCTGCAGAAGTCAGAAATTTATTAGGAGCTACATGAAACACAAGCAACTTTACAAGCTTAGTAATTGAACACATGTTCTATCCAGAAGACCAATGAAGGTAACTAAATGATAAATTTAGAATGACAGGATAAAACAGGTCAAGTGGATTTGAATTGCTGAAAGATAGAAAAAAATCAGAAAGGAGAATGGAATTAGTAACAGAAAAGAATAAAGATAGAAAATATATTTCTTCTCTCTTTGATGTGCTTGATAGGAAAGATGGAAAAATGACAAGAAATTTTTTTCCATTAATTGCATGTTAGAGTAGAAAAATGAGATAAAAGGAGATTTTTCAAAAATGCTTAATTTTTTACACCTAACTTACATCTCTCACATTTTCTCTCCTCTTATCACTTCAAATTGGAATGATTTATTTTTATTCATGAAGATGGAAAATTATCATATTTACTATTTCTTTCCCACCAAGCACACTCAAAATTGATTTTCTTTTCACCTTTCCACTCTACCAAACACACCCTGAAGTTAAACTTATATGCCAATAATCAGATATTCTGAATCTTAAGGCTAAAATTTGAAATGTAGTGTAAAATCTGGATAGTGTATCTTTGAGGTAATCAGAATTTACTATTTCTTTGAACTTTTTATGATAAAGAAGACATTGAGAAGAAAACAAGAAGCACCTCTTTCTGAGTGACAGTCTTATCTAGTACGGAAGAAGTATTCTCTAAAGCCTCTGTTTGAATGTCCATTCCATAAACACGACCTCGACCAGATTCATCAGCAAGCATTTTGAGCATTGCAACAGTATCATAACCATTACCACATGTAGCATCTATGGCAATATCCCCTTTATGTAGGACATGCCTCCAAACCCTGGTCAGTAATGGACATAACATTATTAAAAGAAGGACATATTCGAAGTTGAGCACCGTTCCTGAGATGGGTAAGGAAATTTACCATGAAAGATTTAATGATATAATAAAAAAAATCAGCATCCTCAGTATAAACAACAAGAGCAATGCTTAATTTCTAAGGACATGGTACAAGAGGGGTTGTATCAGAAACAGGCTCCATAGGTTCAAGTCATACTAGCTCATCCAGTTCAGCACTAGTGCAAAATTAATGGGAATTTTCTTTTTTGAAAAAAAAAGCTTGTTTGCCTACAAAAGAGGATGCTGAAGAATATATATATAAGCAAGAATATCAAATTCCACAAACAAATTGACACCATATAAAATAAAACCGAGTGTTTTCTTGCTTCAGTTTCAATATTTATACACCACAGACAGTGAATTCCAATTTGCACATTCTGCTATCATAGCAGGAAATTCTGGCCTTACCTTAATTACTATCATATCTTAGAAAACAACTTTCGATTAACATCAACAAGATGCTTCAGTTTACGTAGTCTCCAAGCATGTAAACCACAAACATTAATAACAAAGCCAATGAATTTACAATAATGTTATAGGAAACGCTAAAGGGTTTGACAGTCCAGAGTCCAGACTAACAACAGACTATAGAGTACAGTTTCAAACATAGCATTTAAAACAATAATAAGAGAAATAAAGAAACAAAAAGAAAAATGGGTAATCAGGTACCTACAAATGAGCCACTTCCGTTGCCTTCTTCTTGCCAAATATATACCCCACCAGCTCATCCTCTAACCCTGAAATTGTATCGCAAAAGATGTCATTTTATTTCAATTTTAAATCCAAAAAACAGATAATATTAAAATACCTGAAAGCAGAGAGGTGGTTGAGAGGGGACGTGAGGTGGCTCCATTATTATGAAGAAGGAATTGGAAGAGCAAGAAGGAGTTTTGGAGGGTATTTTGAGCGATGAGGAGAAAGAAGAAGAGAAGCTAAATAATAATGAATTGGTTTGACAAAGGAATCTGTTTGATAGCATCGAGGTATAGCGTGAAGTAAAACCCAAAGCTGACATTTTTTACTTCTCAGTCGTTATATTCTGAGTGTGAGAGTTGTCTTTGTTTCGAGTTCAGTAGCCGGAGCCGGAGGCGGTCGGCTACAAAATGGATCGGTTTCGGGTCGAGAAGTGGCACGGATAGAGTTTCGTGAAATCAAATTCCCTGTAGCGCAATAAATTAAATTCTGATGGTGAATTTTACCCGACAGCTGATTTTTTTTTTAAAAAAAAACATAAATAATATTTATTTTATAAAAATATATAAATTATAAAATCATATTTTAACAATAATTATTATTTATTATTATAAATATATTCCAATAATATTATGAAATTACACAATTAATATTATAAATATTTTATAATTTATAATTTAATTAATATTTTTATAAAATAAATAAAATTAATTTCAATCATTATTTAATATAAATATTTTTTGTTTTATTTTATTTTTTAATTTATAATATATCAAACTCGAACATTATTATATTTTTAATTAGTGTTATAAATATATTCTTATAACATTTTATTATTTTATGTCGATTAATCTTTTAATTCGATAACATAAATTATAAATAATATTTATAAAATTAATATATTTTAATTGATGTTAAAAATATGTTGTTATATTATTTTTAAGGTTTATGTTATGATTAATATACTTTTATTAAACAGATGAAAATAATTTTAATCATAATTTATTTTGAATATTACTTTGTCAATAATATAATAAGTTGTTAACTTGACTTAGTTGTCTCGCATTATACTTTCTCTCTAGAATAGTCATCTTATTAGAAGTTATATATATATGGAATATTATTTGATTGGTGATTAAAAATCTTATTTTTCTAAAAGTATCAATCTTAACCTAAATTTCCTGTTTTCATTTGTTTTATGTCTCCCACATCTGTTTGGGAGGAACACGTATTTCTAGTTGTTGCGTTTAATATTTCAATAAAAGCTGGCGTTTCATTTCCAACAAAGAAAACAAAAAGCTTAATTTGCCAAAGAAATTAGCAGCAAATATAAATTTGATCTTTAGTGCTAATTAACCATAAAACCATCTTACAAGTAGTTATTATATGTTTACCAGTGGAGTGACGTATGATACGGATCTTACAATTAAGCAAGAACCCTATATAATTCGTAGGAATTTAAATAGCGGCCTAAGCTGCGTTGCTATTACTATATATATACGTTTTTCTTCGACTCCACAAACTTATTGTTTGGTACAATCTGTTGGAGCAAAGGAGACAGTTCTCTTCTGAAGATCGTACTAAATCTGGAAATTTATTTGCGCATAGTTTCCAAAGATAGATAAGGACTCACTTGGAACTATCAGCATACACATTAAGTCCCCATTGGTCCGAAATGTGTTGACCGGTTGCAAGTGAAGGTCAGCACCACTGAAATGAAACACCATTTCGGGAACGTTGATATTAGTTTCTGCCCCATAACATAAGCTAAATGTTCCTGAAGGATCTTGCACTGGATCTTCTCCAATTGTGTCTTTTACTATAGTCTCTAAGCTGTTATAAAAATTTGATTCCAAGAGCGTGAGTGTTGTTCCCGAATCGATTATGATATTCCCTTGGCTCGAATCTGGCTGCACGGTCTGCTCCCCAATGCTAACACCTTCAAGACTAAGGAAGTAGAAGGCTGGAGGGCTTTTGGTTATTAATGGAGTTGAAACAGCACCGGGAAGAGATATTATAGCTTCTTTACCGAAGAGAAGCTTACTACCGAAGCTTGCAGAGCGAGGAACCAAGCAGTAGGAGAATCTGTTATCAATTTGAGTGCTTATTTGAGAAACCAGAGACAATGGTCCTCCTCCCAGGCCAACAAGTCCAGCACTTGGACTTCTGAATCTGCCTTGATTCTTGTGCCCACAGCCAAAAATGGA